CCCAGTAAAAAGATACTTGCCTGATATGGCTCTCGTGACGGGATCTCGCACGATGAGCAACAGCTTCGTCTTCGGGGACATGCGATGAATTCGTGCAGGAACCTGCCGATGAACGAAGTAGTTCGGAGTTTTTTCTACGGTGATCTGGCCGGATGACGTTGGGGGCATCTGTCGCCTATAAATTAATCGTAAACGTTTCAAGGCATGTCTTGGTGAAATTTATAAGAAGTCTGAGAAACTCGCAATTGCTTACGATCGATTTAAAGCCGTCTCTTGGCCAAAACCAGCATTATTCACTTTTCAGTGTTAAACTCGAACAACTCTGAAGTCAAAGCTAGTACCGTAGAATTCTTCCAACTTTTGGTAGAATTTGGCAACTGAGAAATGTTCAAGTATTCTGAAGTTCGTTTCTTGGCATGGATGCTTGAAATTCTAAAATCCCGGTGGTTCGGTCCTGAATCCATATTTCCTGAAAAGTATCCAAGATCTCCTGGAGATATTCTGAAACAGCACTGATGCTCCTATGCAAGACCATGGGTCGCTGCTGTCAGTGTCGTGGTTAACAGTGCTGGAGGAATTGTTGTTTTCTGTAATGTGCTTTGTGGACGGCATCAGCTTAGCAATTCCTCTAGCTTTAAACCAATGATACTCAACGAGCTGCAGGTCATCACTCCAAATAAAGCATTATGTATTAACTGCTTCAGTGCCTTTATCATAAGTAGATCTACTTCGAGCAGATTTGATAGTTTCTAAAGTGGCATTCTCTATTCATGCGCCACGGTTCCGTGAACAACAGAACTATTCATATTTATGGTGTCTGACACAATTCTAAAATAAATTCTCTAACCAATGCTAACTTTGTTACCATATTCATTATAAGTTGACGTATGCAATCTTGCACGCTGCTTAAGGGCATAGTGCTCACACATTTTTCTACAAAACCTAAATTACAGTATCTGGCTTGGTTTGACGAAGTATTTTGCAACGTACGGGGATTCATCTCGAGAATCTCTCTTGGAAACTTGCCTTGCCTTTGACTCTGTATTAAAGTCATGAATACATGAACAGAGGCTGATCTGCTTACGACTGGGAATGCCCTGTTTTCGTAGAAACCAGCGACAGTTCTGAGAAAACCTTTCAGCCTATTTAGACGTTCATAATCAGAGTAAGTTTCCATTTCAGTGCTATTTATTTTTGTCTACACAGCGACTACAATCTATACACACGTTCAAGATCTGAATTATGAAAAATTGAACAGTAAACTACTAACGAGGCAGAATTGGGATGAAGTGATAAACTGGCCCAGTAGAGAAAGTCGTCTAAAGCCTTCACTAGAGGAAGTCATCCAGGGAATGCAGATGAAAAATTTGGAAAATTTAAAGCACATGTTTGGACCAATCTGATTGTTGATTTTGACTATATAGAGAAAAATTACATATTATTCCTTGTATACCTTTAAAAGCATCTCATTGGTCTGCATATGTATGAGGTTCGTAATCTGCTTTATTATGTACTCTGAAGTATTCGAATTACCAGCAACTGTTGACTTCAAATATTAGGTTAAGAATTAAAAAGTCGCATCACGTGGATAAAAAACAGTAATCACTTCTTTGACATACGTGAAGATTGCAGCAAAGCAATTGCTTCACCTCTCAAGCCTGTTTCAAACCGTTGAAACTTGTGAAAACCATATGTGGTTTATTAAAATCGCCTAAAATCCCAGGGAAAAGAAATTACATAACTCATAGAATATTTACCAAATTTAGAGAGACTGAATATCTTACTACGGTGGCGGTAGAAAAGCGATTCCCACGTGCGACTGCGGCTACTGCCCTGATCACGTAGTCCGACAGTGCTAAGCGAGTAAGGCAGAAAGAGGAATACGAACGATGCACAGACTGCAGCTCGGCTGTCCCGACAAACAAGAAGGTCGTGATCAAAAATTTTTTTTGGTCAGACTTATTGATTTATTTTTTACCTTAAAAGCAGTTGATAAAATATTGCCCTTGAAGAAGAAATGAATAATGAAGAAATGGCAGCTTAAACTGAAAAGCAGCCGCTATCAGATGTGACTAATGAGGAACCTGTTATTCGGTAATCCAACGTGATAAACCGGCGTGGAGCACAAACCTATCAACCTGTTAGGTTGGTGTTTTCGGTAGATGGC